ATATATATATATATATATATTGCAGTGCCCTGCTTTTTTTGAGCAGCTGTGTTTCTTACTGGAACGAGCGTACGTACTATTTATATGAGAATTTATATCAAGCGAATCTTCACGCACACGGAAGAACTGCGGCTAATATGGAAGATTGCGTTATTGGAGAGTGCCCTATAAGCCACAAGGCGCGAATGGCGTTTCCACGTGCTCTTCGTGTGCTACATACGTGTAGGACGGGCTACAACCAGTCCTCAAGCAAGTGCACAGCAATAACGTGGTACCCATGCAATGTAAGCTACAGACAATCGCTCACTTGACGCACTCCTGGGGAGATTGTGGAAATACCATCGTGGCCACTTTGTGGACAACAGAGGTTGCGGGGCAGAAAGGTAACAGCAAGAAATTCGATTTCAGTATCAGCTGCCTTGATAATGATAGTAGTCGTTGTACCCGTAACAACACAGCTTAGTATATTCCAGCGATGCGTGCACGTGTATGGTATCAGTGTATGGAGCAACAATCTATCTCTTCTCGTTCTATAGGCAAGTTGTGCCAGCATTTGAAGCCGCTGAAAATCTATAGTGGAGGCAAGACGCTGCTACTTGCGGAATGCAAGGGATTTTACGACAGGTGAATGGACTCCGTCAATACAATGCAGAGCTGCGCAATATGCGCGAGATTAACAAAGCGCCGCCTAGACAAGCGAAGTCTATAGGGACACTTAACGATAGGATTGCACCAACCAATTTAGCTTGGAGCATTCCGTAAAAAATTTCACCTGTGTCGCTGCGGAAATATTGGACTCGTCGGGGGCGGCAACCGACCACAACTGACGAGCTCTCCAGCCATTTTATCCTGTTTATTCAAATTTAAGTGGAAAAACTAGCACAAATACAACACCGCCTCCGAATTGAATTTTCCTCTGTGCTCCGCCTACCCGAATCATGAAGTTTGGGGAGCGACTACGGGAGGCTCATTACAGATTGCGGGGGCTTCGAGCAGAGCTGTGGTAGCTCTTCTGCTTGCTTCTACGGTTTAAGCAGACACTTTTTCGTATTTCACGGCGTACACATCACTTGAATTGTACTGTTCCGGGGGTAGGCTTAAGGGGCCCCTCTCCTTGGGGGCGGTCTGGGGCAAGCCTGGGGATAACCGAAATCCAGCATTGCCATATTAGCCAAGCAGATTCAATGAATTAAATAACGTGATCTTCGCAACTTCAACGGGCACCTATTCCCAGACTCCGTAATTCATGGTGTCCAGACCTTTCGGTGCCGCCGCAGCCGTCTGTTTCCGGCATTGAGCCACTGGCTTTGAGGGGAAATAGTTGCTAGTCTTCGCCTTGGAGGCAGAGCAGCCTTGTGCGGCTGGGAACCCTTTGCTTCATTCCCCACTTGCTCAGGGGACGACATGAGGAGGTTGGTGATCCCTAGTATTCCCAGCGGCAGGGTCTCCTGTAGAGAAGAGGCTGATGGAAAGAAGTCGAGGTCTGGACACGCATGTGATACCCCACCCTGTCCTGCAGGGCTCTCTCAACAAAAGCCGAGGAGGAGAATCTGGGCTCTGTAGCCGAAAGCCGCAGCAACCTGGTAGCTGTGAAAAGTGCAATTCCCACTGCAGGGAAGGGGAGCACAGGCTACCAACCTCTACAGAGATAGAACTAGGTCCACAGCTTCATCAGGCGATGCAAATCTCCAAAGAACCGGCTGCACTATCTCAGCCCTGCATATCCAGGGATCTTGAGGGTGCACTGCTTTCTGGGAAGGAACAAGCCCGCAATTTCGCTCGTGTAGCAACCTCTTTACAGGGATCGTTACAGCATGCAAAACCATTGGATTCTCAGGGTGATGTTGCTGGAGGCGAGGCATGGGGGGACTATACGTTAAAGAGTTATCGGATCTCCACGCACCCGCCAACGAGGATACATTCACAACCTGGGGAAAATGGAATTCCACTTTCTTGTCGGGGTTCAGCAGGATTGCCCACTCCCCAGATACAACAACACATTTCGCTGGCTCTAGGCTCCTGTGGCCTTGGAAGGGGGCTGGAAACAAAAGGACCAACAAGATCATCAGAAATAGCAGCAGAGAGAGGATGTCGGGGCAGTGACAGAACGAGCGTAGTGGCTCCTGCACTGCAAAGCCGCGGCATGTTGATAGGCGCGTCAGGCGGGCCGGGTGGAAAAGCCCGAGGCGAAGTCAGCGCGAAACAGAATCACTGCGGTTCTTCCCATATCGCTCGGAGTATGCCGGTGCCACCAGTAGGGCACCGGCGCCACCATATGGGGGATGCCACAGCGGCCCCCTCAACTTCAAGACAAGGCAATACACCATTGCTTGAGACGAGCGTTGGGAGCTTCCAAAGAATGCCAGGAGAGCGAGGGCCACCACTTGCAGTTTCTGCACCCACAGAAGCAAGAGGAAGGCTCTCACTGAATGTGCCACCTGCCCAACGCCTTCCATCAACGGGTAGATCAAGGGTCACTCGCAGCCAGACAGCAGCTGCAGCGATGACAGAGGTTGTCCGAATAGAAGATTCTTCTGACGAAGAAGAAAAACAGGCGGCCGCCTACCAGCATGGCGCTGATGTCTGTAAGGTGTGGGCTCAGGACAGTGGTGAGTCCGTAGGTGAAGCTGCAGATGGACAGAGTGCCTTCATTTCTTTGCTTGAACCTTCAGGGGGGATGCGGGGGGGTCAAATGGAAGCGGCGACTGCTTGTCTTATATTGGTGGCTGCGCTGGTTGGGGGTGACGGGCACTGTTGTGTGCTCAATGCCGAAACTCTCAGCAGGGTTGCGGCTGAGTATACAGTGTTGCAGCCGCCCCAGCAGCACTCCAGCAGCACGGTAGGGGTGTCAGCATCACCAGATGAAGCCCACGGCCTAGCAGCGCACAAAATTGAGGAGGGCACCCGCACAGCGAAGAAGGTGCTAGTGTTGCAAGCAAACCCTGGGAGGGGTGATGTCTCTCTTGATCTATGGGAACCGCCTTCACACCCGGCCCCGGCGCCTGAGGAAGGCGGAAAGAAGCAGTATGCTGATGCCTCCCTGGGTAGGCCAGCTCAGTTGGCTTCCTCTAGCAGCCTACTCCGCCTGCTGTGTTTTCCCAAGAGCATGATTTCTCGCTTACGGTGGTTAGGGCTGGGCGCTGGAGCTGCAGCTCGGGGTTGGGCATGCTGTAGCGGAGAGGTGTATTGCTGCTGCTGTCGTGGGAGTACTGGCGATCGCAGGAGCCTTCATGCTAGGAGAAAAGACCGGAAGCATTCGAAACTTCACAGTAAGAAGGCACATGCCAAACCTGAAGACGAACAAACCGGCATGGATCTTCACAGTAGCAGCGACCGCAAAGATGTACAGACAGTCGGTGACAACGGAAGTTCCTATCCGGGGGAAGATTCTGCTTCACAAATTTCTGGCCGATTCGCCTCGAGTGGTGTTGTTGCTGCCTCGCTGTGCTCGCCATCAGTGGATGCAACGCAGCCCATCCGTATGATGCAACGGGACGGTGCGTCGACAACTAGAAATGATGCAGGTGCAACTGGTGACTGTAAGACTCTCGGAACTTCGGAAAGTAGAAGATCCAGCACACACAGTGGGAGCAATCACAACCGCTTAGAAGGATCTTTGCCGGAGGTGCTGGGAAGGCATTCTGGAGGTGGCCACCACAAACGACGCAGCGGGCATAGCAGCACAAAGAAGCGCAGCAGTACTTCCCAGAGTAAGTCGAGCCAAAAAAGCAGACGGGAGAGGGATGAACATCCCTCCAGGAAGGAAGGACCACTAGGGATTGGACTAGCGACTAGGGGTGATTCTAGCCGTCCTGCATCCACCGAAGGCCTTTTAATTGGAAAAAAAGATCAAATTCACGGGATTGCCACCCCGCGAAACGCCCTGATTGTGACGGATGGAAAGCCTTTGCATGGCGCACCGCCTCCTCAGAGCGGCATGACGCCTTCAAATTCTAGGGCTTCCACTCATTGTGAAGTTCAGAGGGATGAAATGACGGAGAAGAGCAATACTGAAGGCAGCAGCGATCGGCAAGGCACCTCAAACAGCGCGGATGGGCTGAATGAAGAGCGTCTGCAGTATTTGACCACGGGGCAATCGATGATTGGAAGTATTTTGGCCATGGAACGTACTGAGCACAAAGAACAGCAGCGAAGGAGAGAACGCCAGGCAGATGAGCGCCGTTCCTCTAAGGAGGTACGACCTAAGGATGCTGATGTCCACCCAGCAGACTTCTTTCTCGACCACAGTCTCAGCTGCAGAAAATGCAGGAAGTCGTCAGGTAGGCACGACTCTTCAGACGAAGGCCATGTTGTTCCCGTCCTCTGCTTGGAGCTTCTTCAGTCCCAGGAAGACAAGCTTGAGTGCAGCGAACTGCTACAGAAGGTTCTTGAGCAGGAGAAGACGAACAGCATGTGCTGCATCGGCTCATCCCTTCAACAGGCTCAGCACCACACAGGAAATTCGCATGGCGAGATATGCAAGACCTCCGCAGGGGTTTTTGTTTCTCAGCATCCCATGGCTTATACCAAATCGTCCACACACGGGAACTTCCACACAGAGAGCGAAAGGAATAGTAGGAGCAGCAAGAGTAGGAGGGGTAGCAACACCAGCAGGAGCATTGGCAGTCACATTATCAATAACAGCAGCTTTGGGGGCAATTCTAGCATTAACGGCAGCACGGACAGTAACGGCAGCGTTAGCACCAATATTAATATAGCTCATAGCCAGTGTGAAGTCGCCAGAGAGTGTCGTGCCGAAGGCGACCGCGAGACTGCCGACCGGCCTCATTCCAGCAGCTCTGGCAAGCGCACCTCGAGGCCGCGGTCCTCCACCTCCAAATATGGACGCAGCAGCAGTTCAGGGCGGCACTGCAGGAGCAGCAGTAGCAGGCGGAAGAAATCGCGGCGCGAAGTGTCACCGGCTTCGACTGCACCAGCAACGGCCGCTGGCTACACGAGAGAGTTGTGCTACAGCCGGCTGGGGGAGTCGTCGTCTCAGCGCGATGCTTGCGGCGATGGGACTGCTGACACAAGCTCTACGCAGTGCACCCAGAATGTGTCTTGGAACATAGCAAGTTCTGTTGGAAACATGACGGAAGGCGGACCTTGCCACAGGGTACATTTTAGGGACGGCAGCACTCCAAAGGTCATAGATTTGGGCCCCTCTTTGGAGCTCCCGATGGCAGTACAGTCACCGAGTCTCTCTGTGGAAGCGAGCGGCGAATCCCTTCCAATAAAGCAGATTAAATCTGCCGGGAAAAGGGGCCCCTGGTTGCTGCTCTGCGTTGGCCCTGCCTTGCACATCGGTCCTTCTGCAAATAACATATCGGCAGGAACGGGGGCAAAGCAAGGTGATTCTCAGATTGTGGAAGCAGAGCCGGTTAGAGAAAGTTTGGGTTGTTTTAGAGAGCAAAGTAACAAGCGCAGGGGAACCGGACTACGAAGGTGGGAGGAAGCAGTTCCCACTGGCTACAGGAATGATTGTCTCTCTCTCTTCAAGGTTCTGCTTCCTTCAAGTATCGGATCAGGAGCACTTCTCGACCATTTCCTGGGATCTGGGGCTGCTGGTGAACCTATCGATGTAGAAGACCTCGTTGCGTTCTTTACAAAATGCATCAAAGAGCAGAAAAAAGCACCTTCAGAGAATCAAGCGAACGGAGGCCAGCTGTTTCCCGATATCGTATCGCACATCTCCGGGGTGTTGAACGAGTTTTTTACGAGCAGTCTCTTTCTCTGGAAAGCACTGCAAAAAGGCAGAAATGTCGTTTCTAGTTTCTCGATCGAATGCTTGGTGTCCTTTTGGAGAGCAAGAGGGCTTCAATGCGGTGTGGAGTCACAGCGCACTGCACGGAAAGAGGGCATAAAGAATTTTCCGTTGGTGTGTGCAACGCCAGTTACCGTATCTTCAGAGGACACTAGGAGGCAGGCATCAGCAAGGCCGACGGCAACTGCCCCCTCTCCCGTATTTGACCTGCTGCTAGATGACAGAACTTTACGGCGCCTGAGCGAAAAGGAGTTCTTGGATGATACTATCATAGATTTTTGCCTGGGATTCATCGTTGACCATGTGAGCTTAGTGGTTTTCTGCTTTGCGGCACAATAACGTGCTTGGCGGTGCCAGCACGAAAGACATCCCTGGGTCTCGCAGAGCCATCGTACCAGTTGTAAATTCATTTTCTTACATCTGGGCAGAAAGCCATCTGCTGCAGTAGGTGCTGGGGATCTGACATGGTGACGGTTGTTCCTAATGTTTGTATGTTTTTGCTATGATTGAATCCCGCATGTGTGGCTATCATGTCTTTCCAGATATTTTGACAATCTGTCCATTTTCTTGTGGCAGCTGATCGTTCCTTTTCTCAGATGTGCACATGTGAACATTTTGAAACATTTGTGGATGGGTGCAGATTCTTTCGCCGGATGAGAGGCTTCGTGTCCATATTTCCAACACATTTTTTCTATCCGCCCTCATGGAGCAGAAATGCGAAATGGAGGCCCATACCCGCTTAACTCGATGGCTCAAAAAAGAACTCACGCCCCTTCCCAAGAAGGACTTTATATTTATTCCGGTTCACCACAAGCACCAGCACTGGAGTCTTGCTGTTGTAGTTTACCCATGGCGTGCTATTAACCCATCCCAAACCAGCGCAGAGCACGAGATTGTACGGAGAGCTTCTGAAAAATCTGTGTGTAAACCTGAAGTCAGCAAGCTCTCGGGCGCCGTCCAGCAGCCTTGCTCCTTGGAGGTTTCTGCCCACGAGGTTGGCATTAAGATGTCTCCACAGAGCCGTACGGTAGGAATTGTTGCTCCCTTTCCACTAGGGAAAGGGCGCGGGGTTGAAACAGGACAATCATCGGCTTCCTTAAGGGCACCTGGGCCACATGCACAGAGGCCTTCGCGTGAGAAGGCTCGACTGTTTCACGTGGATTCCATGGGTCTCCGCAGTGTCTTCGATCGCTGCCGCGGCCGGCTCAAGCGGTTTCTACGCCAAGTGAGGTAGCCCATTGCAGCCGCTGTAACAGGCCTCCTCCGACGGGATGAACACGCTTGTGTATTATGACAAAGCACGTGGATTACCTTGCCATATCCCCACAGGAGCGAATGTCTTATACGTGCACACTTGCTTGGATCGTATGCTGTCTGCGTTTGTGTCCTTTAGGAGTTCGAGCATAGGTGTGGTGGTGAGCTGAAGAGCGGCGTGAAGGTGGAGCTGTGTACGGATAGTTGTTGCTGGCATGATGGGCACAGTTGCACGTTGCACACACCACGTCAGCAGAATGGGTACGATTGTGGCGTATTTGTAGTGGAGTATGTGTATTTCCTGACACGCAACCTCAGTGCGATAGAGACGCTTCTGGTGGGCCCTTCCCGTGACTGTCATTCACAGCACCGGAACGTCAAGCAGCCTACCGTTGGCACGACTACACCTAGTACCTACGGATGCCTTGCCCATGTTGATGCTCCTGTTGAGGCTAGAAGCCAGGGTAAGTTGCTCAAAGCTGCTTTAGGTTTCCACTGCCCGTGCATGGAAGCTGGTCTTACAGCGCAGATGCGCGCAAACACCCAAGCAGTGTGTGGGCTACATTCTAATTTGAAAGCCCGTCTGGCTGAGCTTAGACAGGCACACGCAGCACTTTTTGGGTCTTCAAAGACTTCATTCTCCAGGCAGCGGGACCTACGGGTCCAGGCAGGGTCTCCAACGACACCACCGAGCGTGTCTCAGGGAAACGGTGCAACTCACGAGCTTACTCCCCAACCAGTGGAAAAGATTAGCTGCTCGGCAGCGCCGCATAAAGTGCCTGGCCTCCAACACCGACAGCATTTTCCAGACGCTATTCGAGTGCAAAATAGTGACTTCACTGATGGGAGAGCGTCGCAAACGCAACAGTGCCCCGTCTGGGGCCCGCTACCGCTTTGTGCCAGCAAGCGGCGGTCTTCTCACAACAAGTGGTTTTCACAGGAGCGCGTTACTCAAAGGTGAGTGGAAACATTTAACTGCACTTCCTCACACTTAATGCAGGCCTGCAACGAAGAAGATGTTTGCGAGTATGAGCCAGCGGTGCACCGGATGACATGAATTGGGATATGGCGAATGTCGCAGGCGATTGCAGTTACACAAGATGTTGCTGTTCATGCGACAAAACATTCGTTGGAGGGAGGACCCAAGGCTTGTCGCCCATCTCAAGTCGTTGTTCTTGAATATTGGCAGCTGATGGCGCCAGGAGTTCCAAAGGAAAACGGGTAGGACGAGCTGTCAAATTCATACATTTTGCTTGTTGGATCACTAGTTGACTGCAGCAAGAGCACTGCTCTCTGCAGCGGCCCCAGAGGTCTGCGCGGGTGGGCTGGATGGCTTTCTTGCAAATTGCAATGCAGCTATGATAACGAATTTCTATTTTGAATAAATTGTAACATGGAAAATCTAGATGCAGCATAAGCCTAGCTTATGCAGCGTTTCCAATGCATACGGGGCCTACGCAAAAGTTTAAAAGCACGACATGTGCCAGTTTCATCCCAGTAGACACAATTCCGTCGTACATGGGTACTGGAAGTATGCAGAAGGTAATGTGCGAACAATGGGAACTGAATGCTTCGTGCTCGGGAGAGGCGCCCCTCGCTCTCCAACGAATAGCTCGTCAGCACGATTCGTGCATTTCCAGTAACTCCATAAGTGGGGCTTGGGAGTCACCAAAGTTACCCATGGCACAGTCACAGTTTGAGCCAACATAGGGCCAGCATAAGGAAAATATCCGTAGCTTCTGCGTTGCTTAGCTGCTGCTGCTGGGACTGGAGCCTGCTGCATTCTCTGCCACTTCCACTGTTGCTGCACTTGCTGGGGGACAGGCTGGCGTTCAGCTGTGACGACCAGAGCTGGCAAAGCTAGTTGGCTACAACCAAGGATCTTCTGCGACGTTTGGGAAGAGGCGCTGCACGGGTACAGAAGCGGTGGCGGTTCTGCAGTCGTTGCAGGCCTCCATTCGTCTGCCCTTTTGTGCTCAAGGGCGCCCTGGGAGTCTGTAGGGTAAGCGGTAACATCGTCTGTTGAGCACGGAAACGTTGGATAGGAGGGGTTATGTTGGTATTCAGGCGTGGCGTTCGTCCTGGTTCTGTGATTTGAACCCGGTCTCGTTATCCGGGCAACTGCGATTTTCTTTTCTTGACCGTGAAGAGGAGGCACTTGGGGATTCTGCGCTGGCCGCCCCTCCCGAGTGACAGGACAGAATAGAGGCAGACAACCTGTTTGGCGCACTTTACCTTCTGGCTGTTGTAAATAACTCTGTGATTCGGTGAAGCTGCGCTGCATGTTGTGGGTCATAGATGATTCATCTTCAGAAGAGTTCAGTATTACTGAATTAATACAGGGGATGGCTTTGTGTACTTGCGACCTCTCAAGAGCGCCATCTCCATGTTGCCGCTGGCAGTCAAATGAACTAAGCGAAGACGTGGAGTCTCCTTGTATGCCATTTGTCCCTCCACCAGGAGCCCCCTTTCCGCTCTCTACCTGTTCGTCTGCCACTGAAAGGGATAAGCTGTTACTGTCTTCAAACCCTTTTTGTGGTGCTCGTGAGCTCTCACAGCATGGCAACCAGTCACAGGTCTTTTCGGCTGGATAACTTGCCGAGCTTTCAGATGAAAGACCTTCAGGACCGAGCGGTAGCGACATTGTGCTCTGCGAGGCCTCCACCGTAGTGCCCAAAGCACCTTGCTCCTGATGAACTGAGGAAGATATATGTAGCACGGGTGAGTGCGTGCGGTTGTTCCCACTTGTTTCTTGTGGTTGCTGTCCCTTAAGAGTTTTGGTGTCCGCCTCGGTAACCTCTGCAATTCCTGTGGGTAGCACGGAGCAGTGCAGGCCCATTTGGCGTAATATGATGTTGTTTAATAGCTCGAACTGGTGTTGCAACTCTTGCTGCAATAGAGTAGCCTCCTGACGCTCCTCCACGCTGTGAAGTGAGGCTCTGGGCAACTGCTGCAAACAGGCACCAGCCAAAGTGTTCAGGCGCATGCAGGGTAAAGGTCATCATCGCTATTCTGCTTGGAACCAGACACCGCTTCTATTGTGGGTCCATGACTATACACAATAACCCACCGCAATCTTAAAGTTTTCTGCGGCTCTTCTTAACCTGAATTCACATATTTAAAGCCAGGTGCTTGGAATGAATGCAGTAAGTGGAGTATGCTGTTACACGCAGTAAACGTTGGTTACCGCTGAAGTATGTTTGGCTTACTCTTTCAGGAGTTCATACTGCCTCAGAAGAAATTGCTTTGCTGATGATTCGCCTCTCCTGATGGGTTTCTCCCGGAGGCAGGAAGCTCGCTGTGCAAAATCAATTGCATGGAGCGAAAGCTGAGTAGCCGTGCATGCGGGGTTTAGTGTCACCAGAAGTACAATGCTTGCATCGCTGTGCAAGCTTCTCTGCAGCGCCATCGCAACTCCCACGCACTTCGGTTCAGACAAAGTCGGCGGCAGTCTAACGCAACTCCGTCAAGCAACTGAGACTCATGTCGTCTACACAATATCAAACGCACTGCGAGGATGCGGGTAAGGTTTGAGTAGCGGTAGGGAATTGGAACATCTGCGCCTCCAGTAACATATCCGTTCGCGTGAGAGATCGCCTAAAAACGCGGAATCAACAGAGCGCTATTTTAAAAATTAAAGAGGATACTGGACACTGCTGTACATGCTGAATATGATATACGAACTAACAGCTACCCCCGAACTTTTGCCACGCAGCAAAACCTCGTAGGCGGAATTCCCTTACCTCCCCACGCCTATATTCCTCCTGCTTAACCAACGATCCGAAACAGAGACTGCAGATTTCCGCAACAATAGTTAAGCATTTTTCCGGCAGAGTGAAAGCTGAACCTATTGCTGGGGATATATAAGGCCCATGCTTCATGGTTGCAAGAACTGTACCTCAGGAAAAATAAAGATTTGTTGATTACGGTGCTCTCGGCACAGCGAAGCTGAAATCACCACAAAAGCTCATGTGTACGGAAATGGCTAATCACGCATGTGCACTGCATGTTAATAAAGAATCTTCGTCTGTTCGCCCACTTCCACGACATAACGCTATTCGCGTTCTCTATTAGTGACCCAGTGAAAATATTACTTTCTTTGTCTGGATGTCAGTTGCACCTTCTGGCTGACGGAGCCTAGCGGCAGGGCAGCGAGACATCCGTTCAGATCCAGCGAGATCTACAAGCGTGAGAGTGCTCCTTCCGACCTCTAATCGACTCCGCTTTCCCATGCACCATAATTCCGACGACACGACGAGCCGCGTGAAGACAACAACGTGCGATCTGAAACGTGGCACGCCCAACGGAAACAAAATCTGTTTGGTGCTGCATCGCTGATTGCCTAGTACTCAGCTTTCTGTTCAAAAGAACTGTGGCGCAAGAAGTGACACTGTAGCCATTTTAAGTGTAGGCCAACCTTGACGACTTGTTATTGTGGTCGGTGGAGGCTACCTTGCGTTTCTTCTCACACCTGCATGCTCGCACGTCGGGGAATCAAGATTGTAACTCTGTGCTACCACTGAAAATACTTCTGAGAATCATAACAATATTCGACGTAATAGTGATGCAGTGCTTAACATCAACTGAATAGCATTCTTACGAGAGGCAAGCCAACCAGCACGTACTGGAGCAGGATCTCCGCAAGTTCGTTGCAGTCCATCACCGTAACTTCGCACAAATTTTCAACATGAAATGTTCCCGTGTGGGGTGTTTCCTTCACCTATTCGATATTCCAACACCAAGAGAAACTTCCGAGATTGTGCCCTGATGATTGCTTCTACTGAAGGATTGAGCTGGCTTCCTAAGGCCAATGTGGCTGTTCTGTGGAAGTGTTCCAGCATGCATAGGGGAACACAAAATATTATTGCTTTGCTGAACCCTTAAATGAGCACCGGTGCCATACACACACGCATCTTGGGGCTTTCCTCTCCATTGCATGAATCAATTTGCCGCAATAAATCGTGCACCTTTTCCAAATAGACTTCTACAATGGAGACGCGGACTTCGTAGTGCTGAGTTAACAAAGGCAATACGGTTGCCCATAAATATTTACAGTCTATGTGCCTGCATTCGAGAAGTGTAAAACCCCGTCAAAAAGGCTAATTCAGTTCCGGTGGTATGATGGGTGGCCTTAGAAGTACTAGCTCTGGCTGTTGCAGGTCCATTCGTAAGATTGCGTGTTAGGTATGTAGGAAAGTTGTTGATTAACGTCAGCGGTATGTTTTCGTGGTATAACGTGTGCATCACTACTTTATTTATCGAATAAGATAAGCAAGGAGCATTACATTGCTCCGTTCAGAAATATTTTGAGCGTCATCGCAGTCTTCTAGAAAGATAGCTTAGTCTGAGTTAAGTACCCACATTTTGTGGGGAGCACTTGCAGTATATATACTTACGAGGTTAGATACCTGGTGTATAAGTTGACCACCTGGCGCCTCATGCTTCTCAACGAACCTGAAGATGTCTGTGAAGAATGGAAGCCTCAAGACATTTGAATCTGGAATCGGCCCACGGCTCAATATTGTAACAACCCAGCAAGCAGTTTCACCTCACCTTTCATGGACCGCATCAAAATCCCTTCGTCATTCGCATCTCCGAAAACACTGTAGGACTTCCCGCTTCCTGTTTGCCCATAAGCGAGTAGGCAGCAGTCAGTTCCTTGCAGCAAGCCAACAAGGCAATTGTTTTTTCATACGTTATTCCTCTTGCCTTCTAATGCATGATATCTAATGTGCATAAACGTGAAACTTCACCCAGGCCACTGGATCTTGATGATAACCATTAATAACAGAATGGGTAGGCTCACAGTACCGGTGTTCGGAGCGTGTATGTCCCACCTTCAATAACTTTCCGCACTAAGGGGAGCGCTGCCTGCTCGTAGACAACTCCTGTGTCATCTATTTATTAAGGCAAAACACAGTAGAAAATTCCTCGCTGTTTTATCTACATGCGGAGCCACCTCGAGTTATTCTTGCAAACTATTGCTACGGAAAGTTGCTTGTCTTCGTGGGGTCAAGCAAGTTTGAAGGCTATAGAATTTTGTGCTATGGCTTGCCATGGCAGTCGAAGCAACCACTGAACGATAGTTTAGGCATGCGCCGCAATCTCGTGGAATCATATTCGGAAGGAGGGAGATGAAGGAGGAGTTCCTTCTTATTTGGGGAGACGGACCACACGCACTCTATTCCACGAG